TTAGAAAGCTTAATTAAAAAAAAAAAATCCTGAAATAAAATCTGTACTTCTAAAGTACAAATCTCCAATGTCACTCTGCAAAAACGCCTCGATATCCTTCTGTCACATGACAAATCCAGCTGGGCTCTAGACACAGCTGCACCTGCAGCCAAAGGTTGGTCGCCTACGAGTCCTAAACAGTGCAAGAGAAGAACACCTGAGGTGTTCAATGATTAAGAGCTATCTAAGGTCTTGGAGAATTATATCAAGTTGTGAATAGTGTGGAATACAAGCATACCATCTTATGGAGATTTTAATAAAGAGTTTCCAAAATAAGTACTTGTTCAGAGCTCAAAATTGAAAATAGATTCTGAGTTACTTTCTTAGTATAGTTATTAATATAAGTTAGGAAATTCTTATTCTTGCAACTATCCGAAATTCAGGTCTACAAAATTATAGTTTATTAAAAGTTGTTTCCTTTTAGCTTCTTTTTAGTTTGTTTGTTTATAAACACCACTGTCTTCAATGTAATAGTTAACCCTTAATTATATGATTAATTGATATTTTCATTTGCCCTAATTCTTCTCTTTTTGGTGTCCTTTCTTTCTGTTCCTTGTCTTGTTCGTTAACAAATTATACGCTTCTGTCTGCGTCACTAATATTTCTAAATACTGTAGATAATCAAATTGTTCAATAAGGGAAAGTGAATATTTCCCTACAATTTCTCTCAGTTCTCTCTTTTCTTCTCTTCTTTTTCTGTTATCATGCATCAATTGGTATTAGTACTCGTTCCTCTGAGGGAAACTTCCTGCAATAACATACTGTGCATGGTCCTGTTCGTGAAAGATGTGTTTAGAACATTGTTCACATCATTGTTATTCTAATTAATAGGGAAATGAAAGTGTTATATCCCTTTAGGCCTTTTATTATTGGACATAGTTTGAGTGGCTAAATGGTAATCTCTTTGGTGTCCAATTTCCTACATCCCTCTTCAATTTATTTGCATATTAAAATTTTATCACTAACCTACTCCATTACGTTCTAAAAAACCTTCTAAGATACCGTTTACAAACTTCCCATATACTTTACCCTGTCAAAATAGTCAGTGAGTTTTATTTATTTATTTATTTGTGTTTCGGTCAGTGGTAGTGGTGGGGGCTACTTCAAAAAGTATTATACTAACAACTAGCACTGTATTTCAACCCTGAATGCTCTGCCATAAAATGAAATCCTGCTTTAGAAGCACTGAATTAGGGGTATGCCATGGTAGTAATATCTTACTTGACAATGAAACAGTAAATTAGAAAAATATAGAAATGAATCATAGTAGATCCTTTGATGGCCTCTGTCCTCTGTTCTCCACATGGTTCGTTATTTATAATTTTAATTCATCATTTCTGGTTAAAATGCAGGTGGTTTTGCGTTGAAGAAACAAATGTTAGATGATAGAAGGTTCCCGAAAATGCATATTGACTTACAGCGCCTACTACAGGTAATTTGACCGTGCAGACATTCTTCTGTAACCTTAAAAGGTTTGCGGAGATAAATTTCTTCTTATCATTTCTGATTTCATATTAGATGGACCAACCTAGCCTTGCTAGCTAGTGCTATGATATTTTATTTGGTGTTGATGCATCATGTTCGTAACCTCGATATTGAATGATAGGCTTAGAAATTTGAGTTAAGGAACTCTTTGACATTGGTTTGGATACCATTGTTAGGGATTCATTCTTTATCCCAAAATGAGAGCATAGGAGGAATGAAATCATACAGAATAGACAACGACAAACACACATTTGTAGCGGTTCACTTGCTACTGCAGGTTTTCACTAAAATCGAATAGAAAAAGTTTACAGTAGAGACCTCACTCATCTGAGTCTTTTATTTACCAGAAAAACAGATCCCTCACGTTCGTTTATGCAGAATATGAAGCCAGGGTGACCTAATACAAAGACATGAATTCCTATATCTGCAGTAGAAGGCATTTTTTTAAAAACTCATTTTTTCAAAACTTATTTTCAACTACACATCTCATGTAAAATAATATTACACGTAAATAAAAAACTTTTCCTTATTTTTTAACCACACATTTTCCAAAAAAATCGCTATTTCATAGCTCATTTTCCCCCAAATTTCCATTAAAATGGAGCCCAAACAAGGGCTTAGTGTCCTCATAGTTCAAACAACAATAGCTCCTCAACTTGCATGTACGGGTCTCTGCCCTTCTTGCATCCGAAGAAAAAAGTATAAAGAAAAGAACGGAAAAAAAAAATGGAACCCCAGAAGGCAAGCGTGGAGTGAGAGTGTTGGTGTGGTAGGTGCTGTGGACTGTGTTGTTTGTCATTGGTGATTAGTTTCCTGAACGCTTGGAGAAAATAAATTTTGCATACTTCAATTTTCTGTCTAGGCCATTTACCTGATAAGTGTTGAATGGTTTCTGAATTTTGAGAAGATAGATTGATGTGCACTTGGACATCACGGTGGTTTCATTTACGTTTGCCAAATTGTAGGTAATTGCACATGGAGAGCAAGTATTCCCCCGAGTCAAACAACATTGTTTGTCGAAGGCTTGGTTTAATAATGAAGACGTTAATTCCTTGGAAGAGTTAATTGGACGACTAAGGAGACTGAAGGAGAACGTTGGATTTATAGCCAATCGTGTCACTGCAATTCAGGCTGGCCTTGACAGTTGGCAGGCCGAGCAAATAAATAGAAAACTATACTATCTTTCTTTCCTCTCCATCATATTTCTTCCTTTATCAATAATAACTGGAGGTCAGAATACAACTTCCCTTCTCACATGATCCAAGTCATAATTTGAATATTTTGTGAAGAAATCTCAAAGCAATGACTTCCTTGTGTTTCCTCAACAGTGTTTGGCATGAACGTGGGAGGAGTTCCATGGACGGGGCAAATGGACCCCAAGTCGAAGGATGGATTCCGCAATGTGATATTACTTTGCGTAGGACTGCTAGTGGTCATTCTTCTTTGCTTCATTTTCCCGGCACTGTATAGTCGTGTAATGGCTTGGCAAAGAAGGCGAGCCTTAAGAAGAAGTTGGACTCTCAACCGGAAATCCTTCATTAAGAGAACAGTCGGCGGTGGAGAAAGAAAAGAAAGAGGATACCTCCGGCTCTAGGCTATAATATTCGCCTGGTAAAAGCTGCTATCTTTCTCATTTGCCCCCTTACGTTGGATACTCCATTCTTTTTGTGTATCTAAAGGATTCGTTTACCATTTGCATCGAGAGATTGGTTCAAGATACACTTTGTTGGACTCTGAAATCTGTATTCCATTGTCATGAAATGTAGGGATGTATACTGAAAGTGAGAACTACAGCAGGGCTTTTTTTTTTTTTTACAATTTTTTACTTTGGTGGGTCCCACACATGTGGGAATTGGTAAATCTTATGTGTACCATTGGTCTATACATATATTTTAATTCTTCACTAATAGCATGTTTGATGAGTTGGATCGTACCTTGCGACGACCAAAAGGAGTTGGTATCGTGGCCAAACAAATTATTTACTTTCATTTCTTTGCTGAATACGAGGAATTAAAATCAGATTTTAAGTAGATTTGATAGAAGTTGATGAAATGTACAGTTGAAAAGTTTTGCGTCCTATGAAATATGACAATGGCTTTCCAGTGCATCTTAGTATATATTTGGTACTCATTATTGAATAATATAGAGGTCTGCGAAGTAAAATAATTAATGTGCGCGTTCTTGCTTAGTTAAAAATTAAAATTAAAAAACGTTAAAACATTTAGCAAATGAGCCCTTTCAATGTTAATATTTGTTCTATGTTCGATTCTCATTATTTCAAAACTCATTTTTTCTCAAATTCATTTTCAATCACATATTTTTAAAATAAAATATTTTACACGTAAATATAAATTTTAACCTATTTTTTAACTACATATTCTCCAACAAAGCCTTAATAATAAGCTCATTTTAATGAAATAATAAGTATCAAATTGATTAGCGCCTATTTGACACTATTTGACATTCATTAAATTAAAACTCTTTTTTTCTCAAAATAATTTTTCATCACATATACACACAATAAAATTTTATGCACGTAAATTCAAGATTTTTTTTTTTACTTTTTAATCATACAATTTTCAAATAATCATTATTCCAAAACTCAATTTTCCCATATACTCATGAGCTCGGCTCTTCAAAGTGACGAGAAGAGCTCAAGCTCATTCGAGCATGAGCCTCAATCGTCTAGCTCAGCTCGGCCCACACCACGAGCTTATGAGCTCTTTTTTTTTTTTTTTTTACTTTTTCTTCACATTTTTTACTCGGCTCGTGGGCTCGTGAACTTTGGGCTCATGACCCACGAGCCGTTCGCGAGCTCCTTGCTCGGCTTGCCTGTGCTCGTCCGGAAACGAGCTCGAGCCGTCCATGGGCCGAGTTTTGACAAGTCGAACCGACGAGCTGATGACCTACTCGGCCCTTTTGCCACACTCCTATATAAAATATTACATAAATAGTTAGGTACAAAAAATATTTTCCTACTTTTCCACGAGTATATAAAAGGGTGGTAAGCTTTCATTTGATCCTATTATTTTCAAAATATGTTTCTCACTCTTCTTTTCAACCGCACATTTTTTAATAAAATAATATTACACTCAAACTCAAGACTTTTCTTTTATTTTTTAACCACGCATTCTTCGTCAATCTACGCAAACTATTGATAAATTTTATTCAAGAGAAGGAAAGTGAAAAAAGAAATTAAACTATTTATCCATTGGTGAACGACGTCGTTCTATAAGCAAAATTAAACGTTCAACTTGGACAACACTCCACTTCTTCTCGTACGATAACATAGGCGATTCGATATTTTCTAGAACCATCTGACCCGCACTATATTTCTCATTTTTTTCCGTCGTATATATCATATCGTAACTCGCCGGGAGAAAGTTTATCTTCTCTTTTTAATATCTGCCCTCTCCCTCATAAACCCTAAACCCTAGCATTTCCAACCACCTGTCACGGAAAAGCTCTCTTCTCAAATGGCGACCGCCGTCCTCCTCCGATCTCTCCGTCGACGTGACTTTACCTCCGGCTCTCTCTCTGCTTACAAAACCGTACTTCTCTATTCCACTTACTCATTTTCCGATCTAGTTTTTGATAATTATGTTTAATAACTTGTTTTTGTGTTTTACTTAAGTCTCTGTCCATGGATACTATGGATCCATTGCATGCGGATCGTTTGTTACTGCCTGATGCTGCTCTTTTGGTCTAGATTTATTTTTTCGTTCGAAGGGCGCTGCTAATTAGGGGCATAAAAATTGGGAGTAAAAAGCTAGAGAAATGCGTAATTTGATTGCTTGTTAATATGCTATTTTGGATTATGTTGTCTCAAAAGGTGCTTTTTTAAGCATTAAAACAATCTTTCTTTCTCTGTATTACGCAAGTCATCGGCTTGTTTGAGCACTTATATACAGTTATAACTTTCCCAATATTCAGCTGTAGTTTGTTTAGATTGCGTATAGTGATATACTCTGAGAATTTAACGTGTGCACCATAGAGATTCATTTCATCTTGGTTTCACTTGGCCGATTCCCTACCTACGGTATTTTTTATTTTTTTGTGGGCCCGGGGGTGGGAAAGGGGCCGTCCGTTGTACGACCTGAGGTTTTCCAATAGCCATATGAGCTGCAAAAAGTGATCTTAGAAGTTGCTATCATCCTACTAATTTGGATGTTATTTTGTTATTCATTAGTTCCCACTGAGCATCCACTATTAGCACAATTATCCCTACATCTGTAGAAGCTCATTTATATTATATATTAGGGACACAAGTATTTGCCTTGCTGAACTTGCTAAAATTATTTAGATGTATCATTTAATTGTTGTTGCTTTTTTCAGTTGACTGTAAGCAGCAAGCCTTCATGGGCACTAGGTACCAAATGGGCAGGTCTTGCTAGGCCATTCAGGTATGTCGTATTTTATGTTTGTCGCTTATTGGCTGTGGAATCTTGCCTTTCGAAATTCAACGCTCATTCCATTCTTGATACAGCACAAAACCGGCTGGGAATGATGTGATTGGTATTGACTTGGGCACTACAAACTCTTGTGTTTCTGTCATGGAAGGGAAGGTAAAATCTCTATTTACAGTTGAATATTTGCCCTATGCTTGTTAATGTTGGCGTGCTCTTTTTTAAACTCTTTGTTGTTTGCAGAACCCAAAAGTTATTGAGAATGCTGAGGGTGCTCGGACCACTCCGTCGGTGGTTGCTTTTAACCAAAAAGGAGAGCTGCTCGTTGGTACACCAGCAAAACGGCAGGCTGTCACCAATCCGACAAACACGCTTTTTGGAACTAAGCGGCTAATTGGTCGACGTTTTGACGATTCTCAGACACAAAAGGAAATGAAGATGGTTCCGTTCAAAATTGTCAGGGCCTCAAATGGAGATGCTTGGGTTGAAGCCAATGGGCAGCAGTACTCCCCTAGCCAAATTGGAGCTTTTATTCTGACTAAGATGAAGGAAACTGCAGAGGCCTACCTTGGGAAATCTGTAAACAAAGCTGTGGTCACTGTTCCAGCTTATTTTAATGATGCTCAAAGACAGGCTACTAAGGACGCAGGAAGAATTGCTGGCCTTGATGTGCAGAGAATTATTAATGAGCCTACGGCTGCTGCATTATCCTATGGTATGAACAACAAGGAGGGTCTTGTTGCTGTTTTTGATCTTGGAGGTGGAACCTTTGATATTTCCATCTTGGAGATATCAAATGGTGTCTTTGAGGTATCCAAAATTTCTTTGGCAATTTTATCTCTTCATTGCTGTTTTCTATTTTCTTGGTTTCGTACTAACACTCATTTTCTGTGCAGGTGAAAGCCACCAATGGTGACACATTTTTGGGAGGAGAGGATTTTGACAATACTCTGTTGGAATTTTTGGTGAGTGAGTTCAAGAGGACTGAGGGAATTGATCTGGCAAAAGACAAGCTTGCTCTGCAGAGACTTCGGGAGGCAGCTGAGAAAGCAAAGATAGAGCTTTCTTCAACGTCTCAGACTGAAATCAACTTGCCTTTTATTACTGCAGATGCATCTGGGGCTAAACATTTGAATATAACATTGACCAGATCAAAGTTCGAGGCTTTGGTGAATAACTTGATCGAGCGGACTAAGGCTCCTTGCAGGAATTGTTTAAAGGATGCTGGCATTTCAACAAAGGAGGTTGATGAAGTTCTCCTTGTTGGAGGAATGACCCGCGTGCCTAAAGTTCAAGAAATTGTTTCAGAAATCTTTGGCAAGTCGCCAAGCAAAGGGGTGAATCCTGACGAGGCAGTTGCCATGGGAGCTGCCATTCAGGGTGGCATCCTCCGTGGTGATGTGAAAGAGTTGCTTCTCCTGGATGTTACTCCTTTATCACTTGGTATTGAGACACTGGGCGGTATCTTTACGAGGTTGATCAATAGAAACACTACCATTCCCACAAAAAAGAGTCAGGTAAGCACTTGCAGCAGTTCATGTACAATTTCCTTAATTTCCTTCATTATGATGGCTCATTTCTTGAATCATTTATCTGAGATGACTAATCGATCCTTCAGCTATACACTTTACTTGGTGCTAAGATTTCTTTAATATAGAATGAAACAAACATGCTTTTCTTCAGGCCACCTCATAATTGTTAGGCTTTGAGTTTTCTGTTGGTGCTTCCTAATTGTTGTCGCTTTATTTTCAGGTTTTCTCAACAGCTGCTGACAACCAAACCCAAGTAGGAATTAAAGTTTTGCAAGGAGAACGTGAGATGGCTTCCGACAACAAGTCCCTTGGTGAATTCGACCTTGTGGGCATTCCTCCAGCTCCTAGGGGCATGCCTCAGATAGAAGTAACGTTTGACATTGATGCCAATGGAATTGTCACTGTTTCTGCAAAGGACAAGACCACTGGTAAAGAGCAGCAGATTACCATTAGATCATCAGGTGGTTTATCTGAAAGTGAGATTGACAATATGGTTAGGGAGGCGGAGATGCATGCTCAGAAAGACCAAGAAAGAAAGGCTTTGATTGATCTCAAAAACAGTGCGGACACCACCATCTACAGTATTGAGAAGAGTGTAAATGAGTACAGGGAGAAAGTTCCAAGTGAAGTGGTGTCAGAAATTGAGTCAGCCGTTTCAGAATTGAGATCTGCATTGTCCGGGGATAACATTGACGAGATTAAGGCAAAGCTTGATGCTGCAAATAAAGCTGTATCAAAAATTGGGGAGCACATGACCGGTAGTTCTGGTGGTTCCTCTGGGGGTGCTCAGGGTGGCGACCAGGCCCCAGAAGCAGAGTATGAGGAGGCAAAGAAGTAAAATTTTTCATTTGACTAGTTTTTTTGCAATTTTGTAGTTTTAATTTACCACCTTTGGGAAGGCTTGGTTGTATTACAATTTAGAAGTTCCGAATCGTGAACGTACTCGCTCAGAAGGGAACTCTTGAGCAGTAGATTTTCAAGTTACATTTTGGGTGATATTAATTTGGGGCGGAAGCTTTTATTGCTTAATAAAAACTACACTTTTTAGGTATGTAAAGTTGTCTTTACATAATTTTAGTGTGATTGTGCATCACATGGCTGGTGGTATCTGCGGTGTATTCATGGGTACTATGCGTCGATGGAAAAATGTCGACAACTGGGTGTCTCTCGTGATTCTTTTATGGTTCAAATGATACTTTCTTTTGGGCTTTTACGCGTGGAAGGGTGTTTTGTTGACAACCATTCATTGAGTCTCCGTCTTGGAATTGTCTACAAATGTTATAAATGGAAAATGATTGATAGATTGAGAATTGATCTAATGAGCATCATTCATTTGTAGATAATTGTATGGTGGGTTTCAAACCAAACCACTTGAAACGGTTTAAATTAAATCAAAATATCCAACTTTACAAATCCAATCATTTTCTAAATTCAATTTTGTTTCAAACCACGGTTTATTTAGTAATATAAAAATAATCTTTTAAATGAAGTTAAAACATAAACGTTTTGTATAAAAATTCTCAATTTAACGTTTCTAAACAAAAATGTTACAATATGTTAGTAATAATACTGCACGAAACCATAAAAATAACACATACTCATCAAAATATTGACAAAATTAACATTAAAAATGAACAATTAACAAAATTCAACGCTATATACAGTTTGAAAAAAGAATTTTTACTCATCAAAATATTGACAAAATTCACTTTAAAAATGAACAATTAACAAAATTCAACGCTATATACCGTTTGAATAATGAATTTTTGTCACCCATTCTTCCATTTTTTTTATTATCCGTGAAAACATTCACACAATTGTTGAAGTACATTTGAGTCGGCACAACCCAAATTTAAGTTTTGGCAACCTCATAATCCCACGTTCATGTCTCTCCATCTCCTCAGTTTTATCGCAAAACTGGCAATAAAATAGAACCATGCTATACTTACAGAAGGGGGAGGTGATTGATTACTCAGGTTCATTTTTCATTTTGGTGGGTCCCACACATTGTGAGTGTCTGCAAAACTTCTGTCAAAATTTCTTCCATACATATTTATAATCCAATAAAATATATAAAACTCCCAATCATTTCAAATATCAATTTCAGAAAATAAAATATCTAATCCGGACAGTGACAGCAACTTGAATTTCTATAATGCTAATTATTCCAAGACAGGTGGGAAAAAAATCATTGAATGCTATTTATGACTGGAAAAAAAAAAAAAAAACTGTACAAATATCTCATTAGTTCTCTACATTTCTTGCTTCTTCTCAACTCTAATTGGGAAAAACCCAATCCTGATAGGCAACAACCAAATATCTTACAACTTGGGTTACATGAAAACATACTAACCAATAAGCCTAGCCCAGTGAAACCGTTTTCATTGAAGTTAATTGGTTAGTTCTTTCTACAAGGAAAGTCGACTTCGATTCTTGAATAATCCTCATCGATGCGATCAGTCCGTGAAGATCCCCATCCAAATTTTCATTTTCTTCCTTCATCAGCTGTCTTCGCAAATCTCTGAAATATTAGTTTTAATTTTCAGCACATCACCATATATACAAAGACAGAGAAATGCAAGATATTATGAAAACCATGATGATGATGTATATTTACCTTGTGAATATAAAATCTAAGGTAAACAAACAACACTAAGGCGAAGGCACAAAGTTTCGATCCAAGCCATTTAATTTTTAGCAAATTGCTTAAAACAAATGTCAGGAATGAGCATCATCTGCATCAGAGCCACCACCGGAGGAACTCCCGGAATCAGAATCTGTAATGAGAAAGCTCAAACTAATGAGCAGTCCATGAACAATGTCTTTTGATACTGGAATTCCAAGAAAGAAATTCATCGACACAAAGTAGAAACGCAAGATTCAGTACCACTGGAAGATGAGGAACCACTACTTGAGCTGCTTGAACTACTGGAGCTGCTAGAGGCATTGACACGATCATGGTCTTGATCATGACGGCCTCCCCCGCCTCCTTCTTCCTTTTCAATCTCCACCGGAGGAAAGTTTGTAGCAGGCATATCATCATCAATGTCCACATCCTCGTCCTCGTTCTTTTTAGGTCTATTTTCCAAATCAATAGCCTCACCCATTGCACTCTAAAATATATAAGCACGTTAGTAAACTTCAACAGTTCCCAAGCAAAAATCAGGAAAATAAAATAAAATAAAATATCCAGGTCATTCAAATACAAAATCAAATATGGATCGAGCAATACCATAGCAGCCTCAGCAATGGGAGATGTCGGAGAAGCAGGTACATTGTTGTTTATCATCAAAGCTTGCCGCTTTGTCTTGCTCACCATCTTCTTCCAGTTAGTCACAAACCGATCAAGTTCCCAAAGAGTCTCAGTATCAAGGGCCTCAATATCAAGCTCAATTTCATCCCCATCTTGCGCCAAATGTTCATTCCTCTTCCTAATAATCTGAACCAATTGTGGCATTTTTTCCTGAGGCAAACTCTGCAACCCAAGGCCAAGCTTATGCTTTTCTTCCATACACATATCCCTCTTATTTGGATCCTTCGCCCTGGGCTTTGGCTGCTTCACTGTTGGCCCTCTTCCAACTTCCTTTACTGGCGGGGGAGCTCTCGCAGGAGAAGGGGTTTCCTCCAGCATTGGCTGATCCATTGGCAAAGGAGGATGATACGAAGGCGTTGAAGAACTCGAATGTGTATGCATTGGTGCTTTCTCAAGTTTCTTTGGCATTTGTGGAACCGGGGCTGGACTTGATCTTGGTTTACTTCTCTTTTCCATTCCCAGTCCGGGGGATGCAATAATCTGATTATGATTATCCCATGAACTGCCCTGCAGTTCTTTATTAACTGAAAATTGAACTTCATCATTAACCCGGAATGCTTGAAACTCTCTTTCTCTACTTTGCATATTATAAGAATCAATATTTTCTTGAATTGGCCTAAACAATTCCTCAAATCGCGCTAATAGCTGCTCTGCCATACTGTGCACCTGACTTGTCTTCGGATTATATGACAGAGCATTACTAAAAGTCAGTCTCACATCTGCAGCAAACTCAACCGGCGAAGGATACAAATCCTTGGCAAGAATTGACTTTACCGTCCCAAGATCCATAGGCTGCTTAATAATCTGATGATAATCAAGAAGCCCCAAGGCAACTGCATCAACAGGTTTATTGAAAATCCACCCATTCTTGTGTTTCATTAATTTAGTCAAAATCTGCTTGCATTGTTTCAACATATCCTGGTAATTAATCAGGGCCTCCAAACCGAAGTTTCCATCGTCTAATCCACTGGACAGCCTCTTAGGGTCCTTATTAGATACTAACGAAGCTACAGGCCGCTCGTTGCCCGGCAATTTCTTTGATTTCCCACGGGATCTTGGATGATTGTTGATGTTGAATTGACCAGTATCTATTTGGGCCCGGAACTCTCGGATCTGTTCAAGCTCTGCAGCCAAGCGTCTGCGGAGCTCGCGAAGCTCGGATTTGGCGCACGATGAGACATTGTAGGTCAAATATTCACCATGGTTGAATCCGCTACGGCTTGTCGAGGTCTGGTTGAAGGAGTACGCATCGTCCGAGGCAGTCTGTGTGACGACAGGGGAATCGTCATTATAACGTCCGGCGGCACCTCCGTCGGTGGCTACATGGTGAAATTGCTTTTGCTTTTGCTTTTTCTTCGGGTTAGAATTTGGGTTAGGGTTTTTATTTAGGCGAGAATTGGAGCTCGGAATCTTCTTCCCCATGTGGACCCAGCTAGATTCATTCTGACTAGTAAACAAAGCTGACGCCATAATTGCAACGGCGCAGCTCAGTTCCGGCAAATTTCGGACAAAATCTATCCACAAACATGTATAATCTTGTTCGATTGGAAAGAAAATGCCTCAAAAGCCACGATCTCACCGGAATCTTTAAACTTCAAAAACTCCAGTCACCTGTCGCCAGCCTTTAAACATGGAAAAAGGGCATACGAAACAACGTGCTTGTGTAAAGATTGGGTTTTGGGGATTGAGCGCAGATTGGGAGTGGAATCGCAGGCTTCTTAAAGGCGGTGAGATCTGCCCAGAAAAATCACGGGCAGTCTTTGGACCGTTGATTTTCTTGGGGTAAGTGATCGATGGTCGGAAATCAATTCATTTGCAGGCTGACCTCGACTTCTTTCATCGACGGTTAAGATGCGACACACAGTCTGCGTGACATAATCTGAAGCGTCAGATTACACGTGCGTTTAGGTTTGGAGTGAATCTGGGTCGCACACTCGTATGTGTGGCGAGTTTCAGGGTTTCATAGAACTGGGCCCCACATAATATCTAACGTTATTGGTAAAGTCGTTATATAAAGAAAATTCATGACTTGTCAGCTAGATTCTTTCAATCGTATATGGAATTACATTCTTGACCTCATTATTTATAATTATATATGGTACTATATGAAAATGATATATTTACATAATAATTTCAATATACATGATGTAGTGATATATCGGTAGGTTAGAATTTCTCCAATCAAATAAAAAAAAATTCTCCACCCTATAAAATAATCCAAATCTTCTATAAATAATTCAATTGACAAGGTGTGCTCTGAAAAAAAAATAGAAATCGATTAAATAAAATATTTATCTAATTACTTGAAAATACCCTGTTTGGTACATATTATTTTTTTCATTTTCAATTTTCTACTCATTTTCAACCACACATTCTTCAATAAAATAATATTTTCCATCACATCAATAACTTTTCCTTCATTTTTAACCACACATTCTCCATCAATCTACTATTCAATAATACATTTTTTCAAAAGAATGTTTCCCAAACACACTCCAAGTCTCGATCTCCATTATTTCAAAATACATTTTTCTCTCTCTTCTTTTCAACCACGCCTTCTTAAATAAAATAATATTAAACGTAAATTCAAAATTTTTCTTATTTTTAACAATACATTTTTCTATTAATCTCATATTCCAAAATGCATTCTTAGCAAAAAAAAAATGAGGATCAAGCATGCGCTATAGTGATAAAACTATAATGTTTATTATGTCTTTACGATTGATAAAACGTACATAAATGAGAAAGTCAATAGAAAGAATGTCATATATGTTGATGAAATGAAACTCGATTATATTCTATCTTTACTTTTGTTGAGGTAGTTCCAAGAACTCACCGTTCGAGTTTGAGTTTCTGATCATTAGATTCGAAGGAAATTGGCCTTGTTAACTTCATCTAAAAAATTAAATTTTTTTTTTTAAATTTTAATGAAATATATAATTGAATAGTTGATAGGGGAATCGCATAAAATATGTGGTTAAAAGAGAATTTTAAAAAATGGCCAAATAAACCACAATAAGTAATATTTTTTATTCTAAAAGTGGTTAGTAGTATTTAGGCCCCGTTTGGGAGGGCTTAAAATCCAATTAAAATTGAAAATATGGCCGTTATTGGGTCCCACCCGTCTAATAAAAGTCAACAATAACGGCTATATTTTCAATTTTAATCTGATTTTAATCCCTCCCAAACAAGCTCTTAGGATAAGGACAATAAAGGAAATATATAACTGCGTAAATTACCGATGAGTTTCTTCAATAATCCTTAAATATTATTTTATATACCACAAAAAGTTTTATTATTTATAAAAAGGAAAGGAACAGTTGGCGTCACGTTCCCAACGAAGTTTTTTATTTTTATTATAATTTATATAAGGAAAGGAACAGTTTGTCCAGAAGGTTCCATAGAAAAATAGGCTTCCTCTTTCCAGTTGGAAATGGTCGGGTCAACCCGCACTTGAATGGTTTATAACCGGATTTTCCGAAGATTTCGGATCAGAAGCTTGTCCTCAAATCCAGCTTGCTTTGCCGCCGTTGAGATTTCTCCGCCATTCATAGGACTCCAAGTAATGAGCGGTTGATTAGAAAATATAAAGATATGCCTTTCATCTAAAAATTCCGGTCACATTTTCCGTTCATCCTTCGAAATTTTCAATTCCATTGTCAATTTTTATAGATCCGAAGCCCGGCCAAGCTTAAATCGAGAGTTTTGGTATTTGATCGAAAATGAAGTCGTTAGTGGAGCTATGTGATTTGATCGCGAAAAACTTGACCCAGTTTTCTGAGAAGATTGCTTGGATTTGCATTTGGTGTTAACAACTGGAGTTGATGTTATGGATCGATATTGCTATTTCGTATGTGTGACAGTGGGGTCATTGATACAACGTATGGTTGAGTTGAATTTTTCACAGGGCAATGGTCCCATGAACTAATAATGATCATCAATCCAATAATACCAAATTGACTTAAGAGTGTCCTGATTTCGCGCAGTTCACACGTCAAAAATACTATGCTCCTACGATTGCATGAGTTGAGTTTGGAAATTCGACTCGCTCAAAAATTGTAAATTTGTGAAATATTGGAAACTTTCATGACTACTTTCGTATTTGTATAATTTTTAAGTTGGTCAAACTGAAATTTGAACGTGTCAAACTCCAAACTCGGCCAGTTTTAAATAAAAGCTCATTCTTGGATCCAAATTTTTTCACAAATAAAATTGCTAATAAACTATGTTGGTCTAACACAATTTATTACAAATTTAGAACTGTTGAGGGTTCCCAATTACAATATTAATTAGAAAGAATCCCTATAACACAATGAGTTGTACTACATGTATAGGAAATGCTCAAAATTTTTACAAATACATTTGACAGTTTTTGATTGGACAAAGCCAAATAAAAAAAAAGGTGACAAAACATGCAACACCTATAAAAAAACCCGTAAGGATAAACTCTGTACGTATAGAATTTTCCATAATACAATGCATTATACATGGTAGGTGGATATTAATAAGTAACACGTTAGGTAGTCCATTATAAGTAGACTTTTTATTGTTCATTTGGAGACGGATTTAGAATCGAACGACAAATTGGGCTGATGCGTAAAATAAAAATAAAAAAAAAAAAAAAAGAGGTCGGGCCCCCTAAATTAGTCTCTGACAGTTCATCTACAAAAGGCATTACAATATTTAAATTTCACATTGCGGTCTTAAACCAACATGTGATTATTATATAAGATTACATTAAGTGGTATTATAAGTGATAACCCATTCTACAGAGGTCCTCAAGTCACAGAGAAGGGAAGGCTTCTATTATGTTTTCGAATGCAATAAGCAAAGGAAATTTTGGTGTGATGAAAGCCGAGGCCAGAGACTCTAATTTATAGATAGGAAGAAAAACGAATTTCCAAGAATTTCTCACAAAGATAGACTCCTCAAGATATGAAATTAGTTATCAAGGATAGAGATACAAAGGATAAGGATGCCAAGTGCATCCAATCTGTTCTTCAACATTATCTTCCAACAAAAGGGGTATTGATCACCAATCCCTAAGGGGCAGATTTCCTCAAAACACCCAGTACAAGTGGGTTCCAACTCTTTGTAGTGTGGATTAAATGATATTCTTCAATCCTGGGCTTATAGTCTATCAAGTTAACGGGCCACGGTTTTTCATCATTGTCTAGGGGTTATTTGAACATCACTAAAATACCCAACAATCTCCACCTTGATGCCAAGTCAACCTAAAAGTCAAATAAGTTAACTAATAGCTTAAGAGAAGAGACTTACAAGTTTGTACTGATGTTTAGAAGATCAAGGTAACTTCTAAACTTTACCAATGAGAGCACCTTAGCTCCCATGTCTTCAGAATTATATTCTGAAAGGACTTTCTCAAGTTTTACCAGTTTTTGAGAAACCATATCTCTAATAAAATGCAATCTAACATCTATATGGTTAGTACGTTCATGAAAAACAGGATTTTTGTATAGGTGAATAGCAGAATGACTATCAGAATATATTGTTACGTTATCATCAAGAACATCAAGTTCATTTAATACACCTTTAAACCACATAGATTCTTTAAATGCTTCAGTAGAAGCAATATATTCAAATTCAATAGTGGACAATTCAACAACATGTTGAATTTGTGAGTTCCTGCTAACACATGAATTCTACAAAGTAAACACATAGGAAGATGTAGATTTCCTATTATCTCTATTACCAGCATAATCAGTAAAGTTTTTCAATTTTACTCCTTCAGAACTAAACTTATATATTAAGCCAGTATTGCATGTTCCTTTCAAATATCTAAATAACGATTTTAAAGCTTCCCAATGTTTGGGACTAGGGTTTGACATATACCTGCAAAGTATACTAACAGCAAAAGCTGAGTCAAGTCTAGTACACACCACTAGATATATCACAGAACCAATTGCATTTGAATATGAAATCTTTTTCATATATTCCTCTTCCACTTCACTAGCAGGTGATTGTTCTTTAGATAATACAAATTGATTGCCCAAAGGCAATGTAATAGCTTTGCATTCATTCATGCCAAACTTTTGCAGAATTTTCATAATGTATGGAGCCTGATGCAAAAATAACAATGAATTTGACCAATCTCTTTGAATTTCCAAGCCTAAGATTCTTTTAGAATTACATAAATCTTTCATATCAAATTCATTATTCAAAGTAGTCTTAATATCATTTAATAGCTTCGAGTTGGGACCAATCAAAAGCATATCATCCACGTATACAGTCATTATTATTATCATCACCTTGATAGTATAAGCAATGATCAAATTCACACCTTTTAAAATCAATTGTTTGAACGAACGAATCAAAACGTTTGTACCATTGTCTTGGAGATTGTTTTAGGCCATACAAAAAACGTTTAAGATAACACACATGATCAGGTTCTCAAAACCCTTAGGTTGATCCATAAAAATCTTTTCATCAAGTTCACCATACAGAAAAGC